TGCAGTGGCCGCTCCCGGCCACCGCAGCCTCGACTGCTGGGCTCCAGTGATCCTTCCGCCTCAGCCTTCCGAGTAGCCGGAATTACAGGCACACGCTACCACGCCTGGCTGATTTTTTGCTTTATTGTAGAGATGAGGTCTCGCTGCCCAGGCGGATCTCGAACCCGCGGGCTCAGGCAATCCACTCACCTCAGCCTCCCAAAGGCACGGGATTACAGGCTGAGCCACTGAGCCCAGCTGTCTCTATATTTTTAATTCCCAACCTTTCTCTTTCTTGATACCAACACCCAGACAGTCATCAAAGCAGAAGATCATTTCTTGCTTTATCATCTCATATATCCTCCTCACACAAATTCAATAAATAATCAAATGCTTTAGATTCTACCTCCTGAAATGCCTTCATATTCATGATGTTCTATCCATTTCCATGGTTACTGTCTTGCTTTGGATCATCATGATCACATGTGTGAAATATTGTAATGGCTTTCCAACTGACCTGTTACCTTTTCATCCATTCTCCACGCAGCCTCCAGAAAAATTTTTCTGACTCACAAATCAAATCAGGTACTTTTCTGCTTGAAAGTTTCTGATGCCCCTTGTTTTCTTTAGCATAATACCTAAACCTTCTTCCCAGATGTAGAGTGTCTTTCCCAATCACTTTTTACCTATCTCATGAATCTCCCTCTTCCACCATACACACACATCTCTCAACCTGCACTCCAGCCATAGCAATCTACTTGCAATTTTCCGAATTCACTATTTCCTTTGTGACTTTTCATGTGCTATTTATTTTCCTGGAGTAGCTCCTGTTATTTTCTACATTAGGACATTGCCCTTCGTTCTCAGTCTCAAGACTCACCACCAAGTTCGCTTACTCTGTGAAGCCTTCCATGATGGCCTTTGGTGGTCTCTTTGTGTTTCCATAGCAACTTCTAAATTATGAGTTATTTAGTATACTTTATCTATTTGTATGACAATTGTCCTTCCACAAGACTATAACCTCCTTGTGATAAAGATTATTTTATCCTTTTTAACCCCTTATAGCTCACATAATACCTGGCACAGATTGTGCATTTAGGAAATACTTGCATTTTAAGAAATGGAATGCACTGAATATAATTATTATTCCCATATAACAAATTCCATCTTCATATTTACTCAAGCTACTCAAACTATAGGTAAATTCCTTCCAAAGTGACCTAATTTTTTTTAAACACATAAAACATAATACCTTTAAAAAAAGCAAGAAACAAAGTGCTATTTCAAGTATTGAGGGACAATAATCTGTTAGCCATTAATCTCTATCATATTTTTTCCAGATACATGAGATTTAATTCCATATGCAGTGCCCAAGTTAGGTATAAAGCTTAAAACGACCTTTATTTTTCCTCCTTTACAGTACAAAGTGGTGTTTCAATTTCAATTTTCCAAGATACTGCTTCCATCATGGCCCCACTCATGTTATGTTTACCACTCCAAATAGATTATTCTAGGACCTTCTTCGACACAGCAGAGCCGCTGGCCACAATTTTAAAACTTTAATCAACTTTCTGCCTTAGAGAGGTCAAGAGAGGACAGCTTTTTTCTGGAGATGCCAGAAAATTATGGGTCGGTAAGCATTTAAGGCCTACTTAATGGTAGTTCTCAGTCTCATTTGCTTATGTATTCACTCAACAATACTTAGACATGCAACACATACAAGTCTATGCCAAGAAAGGTCTTTTAGATCATACATCTGCATTAGAATCATACCATAGCTTCCCTCATTGGAATCAGTTGAGTCTTTTAGCATATACATAGATGTAAAATTGTTCTAGATGTAATGATTATTTTGATCCCAGAGACTTCCTCCTGTATTTGCAAATTCAAGTGAGTTGTGATAGTATACACGGTTAGAGAAATTTTATTCCAGATAAAAGAATAAAATCTTCGTAATACTTTTTTGATGAATACAAAAATCAGATCATTTACATTCTGGGTTTCCCCCTGTTCTTTTGCTGATGCAAACTCAAATATATCTTCACCCTGAAGTATTTTATGATAATCTTTCCTTTTTCAATCAGCTAAATTGACTAAGAAGTTAGTTCAGAAATAAAATAACTCTAAAAACTTCTAAAATGATAGACAGCTAAAGATTATCAGGTTTTTAAACAACATCAAATTCACTGAGGTTACAGTCAAGTGCCTTGCAACTTCCTGAGTGAGGCCAAATTGATGACATATCATGTTGAGAAATTTCCGTTACGAACATAAGTTCTGAGAAAAATAATATGAAGAAACTTTAGATACTCCATCACCCCACACACGCACACACTTTCATCCCCTCCACCACCACCAAAGAAAATTGTATGACTAACTAGCACACAGACATCAAGTACTCCTTCATAAAGTGGGAAGTCATGCTAAAATTATGTAAAGATTGAGAGCAAAATGAATAGGGACTAAATATAGGTAAAAGAACAGCGGCTTCTAAATTTGACCAGGTTTTTTGGGCTATGGAAATAAGGTAGAAGCAACCTTCCTTTTAAGCTACCTTCTATTGTACCACTAAATTCCTCTGATCACATCTGACATTGACATAAACAAATAGACGGGAGCCATGTGGTTTGAGAACTGTGCGACTTTGGGGTCATTTATCTCCAAAACTTGTCTTTTTTCTTAAATCTACAAAATGTTGTAGATTAAATGAGATAATGTATGCAAAGTTCTCAGCATAATGCATGTAGTATGTGCATAAAAACCATTGTTGTTATTACATCCATGATTTCATTTTCATCTACTGATAGCTGAGTGTACAGTGGAAGTAGTACACATGCCATCACAATGCAGGCATGGGCTTGAAATAATTTGAAATTCTTAAGACACAAGCTGCCTGAGGACTAGGACAACTGTGTTGGACAGAGGTAATGAGAGAGAATCTGCTTAAATCTGAACAGAACTGCTCAGATAAATAACCATTTCTTCATGACAGAATGAATATCTCTTTGTTTCCTCCCAACCTGCTTAGGAAGAGCCCATGATATATTTACCCTTGATTCCTTAACCTGGCACATGATAAGAGCAATCGATTTTGAAGAATGAAGGACTGAATATATAAATGAATGCCTACATTAATAAATAAATAAGTAAATAAACAAAATATTTGGGTTTGTTATTGCACCTTGGGTCCTCATCTCTCACAGATTTTTAAGTCATGGCTGACAATGCTATAGGCAACAGAAAAGTCCTTAGGAAAGCATCCAAAATGTATACATATGCACCACTTTATGAAGCTTACGGGCATTTAGGCGAATGATCTGCCATGGGAAACCAAGTGCAGAAAGAAGCTAAGAGACACTGGGAACTTATCACGAGAGCATGTCACTACTCCCCCTTCCCTATCTTCATCGTGCAACCTTCTCACACTGGAACAGCCAGAGTATCGGTAGTCTGTGTGATACACATTATAAATTAAGAATCCATGAGGGAATAATCTAAAAAATGACATCAGTCTATTCAGTGGTTTCTGCTGACCTCCTGGGTCCTTAGTGGGCCTGAGTGCAGAGTACCATTTCCCCACAGGGCAGGAGCGGAAGCCTGATGTGTAGGGCTCACAATATTGTTTCCTCTCTCAGTTCTTGGGCACCAGGCCAAGTGAATGGGCAGGAATCATTCCATTTGCAGAGTAAAATGGGGTGAAAAGCACTTTTGGCACACATTGTCCATATAAATTACACTTGTTTGCAATTCATCAACTCCTTCTCTCCTTTATATCCATATGTAATGTAAATGATCATCTTTCTCTGAAGCTCCATAATGATGCAGAGCTCAAAAATGTGATAGAATCAGCTAAAAGAGAGCAGATGGAAGTTTTTTCCCCAATTTGCATATTCATAAAAAATATAGAGAACTCAACAAAAGGAGATACATAAATACTTGTACCCCGGGGGCTGCATGGACTTATGTATGACAGTAAGTTGGTTTTCTGCAATTATTCTTGAAACCTTCACTCATTCATTCCTGCAGCAATCATTGAAAATGCTCTGGAAAAAAAAATTGTCTCTGCTTTAAAACAAATGCATTTCCTTCGGATTTTATTGCACCTTAGAATTCGTGATTCAGGAAGTAATGGTTAAATATTTTACTAGAGAAATATAATTAGGAGGTGAACCATGTAAAAAGCAAAGTCTTAAGTGTTCCTTTAGTAATACAAGCTGGAGACATTTAAAAGCACACTGTTATACTGAAAAAAAATACAAGGAGAATAATGAACTGTCTGTATTGCATTTATCTATTTTTTTTTAAATATCTGATTACTCAGGGACTAAGGTGCTTTATGCAGTTATACTGAGGACGTAGCAGTGCTGCTCCAAATTTTGTTAAGATAAAGAAACCATAAAAGAAAATACAGAAAATAATTTTTTTAAAAAGAAACATAAAATCATTCAAAGGGTGGCTGTGAATTTTGGTAACACAACCAAAAAAGTAGCCTCCATACCAAAATTAGATGTTTCTGGCTCCTCTCTCTCTCCAATCTGCTCTGCACTTGGGAAGCCCCCAATGTTCACTCAGAGAGGCTAACTTGTATTGATTCCATCCTGATTTGTGCCCTCTGGGCTTCTGTTGGGCTCAGTCAGTGGGAAGCCCCA